ACTGCAGACAAAAACCTGAAGTCTGAATTCTTTGCCCAATAAATTCGAATGGCTCTTTTCAGTTGTCTCCACTTTCGATTCAGCCTTAAATGGTGACGGTTGGAGGCGACGACCTGAGTTTTGATGAGCATAAAAAACGGGCAAAGGAAAAAGATTCTCATCATCAGCCTTTTTCGATGCCTGCTGGATTGATTACTCTTCAATACTTTCCCATAAACTTTTGTTTTCTGTGATTTTTTTGCATTTTGATCAAACGAACTTCTTCGTCTCATCCTGCTGTCATTCTGTAAGTTTTCCTACGGATAGTCTACTATTTCCTGGAATTCAATCTAATGACCTTTTGATTCTGTGATGGTCGGTTCTTCTTTAAGCATGTCATTCCCGTTACCGCTGGGACTTATTCAATCGCTGATTCCTTCTTGTGATCATACTTAGTAGACTCTTATATTTTGGTAAAATTTTGATTTTCCCGCAAGAACAAGTTACTGATCTCAAAATATCAGAATAATTCTTGTCACTATAGAGGATTTGTTTATACTTCAATTTATTCGTTACTCTACCGGCAGCACGCTGAGCCTCGATGAGGGTATCTGTGTGGTAACGAAACGCATGGGCAGCAATGGTTCTACCGCCGGCATGCATATGAGCCTTCACCAATGAATTAGCGAATTAGCTATGGTTGCAACAACAAGCCCAAAATTGAAAATGTCACATTAAATTAATTTAATCTTAAATTTTAAGTTATTAAATCATTTGCTTCATTTCTAACCCGCTGTCTGTATGATGAAGAAACTTGCATGACGCATTCCAAGGGCGAACACAAACTTCACTATTTAAGTGTGGAATTATTTCAGCATAAACGTTTGAGATTTTCTGATCCTCCATCTAACGCTTAGAAGCTGGATTGTTTAACAAATGATCTTCGGCATCTTCTTCTGCCATCACATTACTAGGAGTAAATTAAGTTGAAATCTTCCTCAAATGTAACTTCTCAAGCATGCTCGAACTTATAACCCGTTTTCAATCTGAAGTCCTATAATGCTGCATTGCTAGGTATATGTTTCTTGTCTGAAGAAATTTAGTTTTTACTGAACGCACTTAAGTGATTTAGATAAACACAATGTAATAAAGCGAGATTTCGAAGGGAAAAATTATTTTTCAAT